TTCGTATAAACCAACAAATCTGAAAAATTAAATTTATAAAATGGCGGTTAAACAAAATAAAGGTAAAGTTTGTCAAATTTTTTTTTTACTTTTTCGAGTTTTCTAAAAATTGTAAAAAATAGTTTTCCAGCTTTTGTTAGTCCATATGAAAATCGTACGTCGACGAATTACGATTTGAGATATCGTGACGACCGCAACGAATAAAGTAGTTTCGAGAAAAATGCCTTGAAGTTCTAAGAAATAGTAACCTCCTAGTTATTTCCCCTTTCAAGTCTGAAAAAATATTTTTTTTTATTTTAATAAAAAAGTTTAAAAAGTGTACATTTACAAAATTTCATCTACTTAAGCAGCGGCGATTCATTTTGAAAAATTTTAGATTTTCTTGATTGCGTAGCCGATCTCCAGGTGGACCCCCGAAAAAAGGCTTCTGGTGGTGAAGAAGATTTTTTTGTTTACAATATCAAATCAATTCCAAAATAATTATTATCGCACTGTACTTGTATGAATACAGAAAATAACCGTAGGACTAGTCAAAGTTTTGGCGCTGACAAAAAGGCGTTTTTTGTTCAAAAATTTATACCACAAAATGGCTTAAAAATAGTTATCGAAAATCTTATTCCTGCGGTCATTATCTGACAAATATATCTGATAATATCGTGTGAAAATTTCCTACTCTGAAAATGCGTTTAAAATTTCTGGAGCCGATTATACCTGCCTATATACTCCTGCACTTCGTAAACTTCAGCTCGTATTAATAAACTTCCATCTGGTATTGCAATACAAAGAACCTGTAAGTCTATGCCGGCCAGTTTAACAGCTAACCAAACACTAAGTTAAAATATTCTTACAAACACGCTCATATCTCCGAAACTATTTGCCGGATCAACTTGAAATTTTCGTTAAAATTTTGAAATATATTGTAAACTCGGCAGAAAAAGTCTGTGTACACGCTTATGTTTTATTATTATTTTTTTCTTTTTTGGAAGAATGAAAAACATACGGTAAAATCGATCGAATTGTTGGAAGAACATATTCTTCCATGAAAAGAAGAGTAAAAAATGTCAAACCTACCGGCTTTTTTATATATGTCGGTCAGTCCAGGGCGGCCAAAAATACTAGCATAGCGTAAAAAACATAACCATGTGACAGAAAATATGAAGCAAAACCCTCGACTTACTGTAACCACAATCGCTCAAAATCTTTAGAAAACTCTAAGAATCACTGACACGATTCGCTAAATTAAAAAAATGTAATGGTCATCTCGCACACAGGAAGTCATTCATATCGTCAGTCAATAGGCAAGTGCATGAAGAGCACTTAAACAAGCCCCGGGAGTTTTTGGCAGAAGGTTATTTTGTCCGGTAAAAATAAGTTTTGGGTCTTTGGAATCAAAGGCCGAAAGTTTTTATGGAAAAAACCAAGCAAGGCACTCGATAAGAAAATCTTTATGCTTTATCTTTATGTGAAGCACGGTGGTGAAGAAGAAATGCTATCGTGGGCGGAATGGAAGTTATAGAGTCCACCATGGACAAATATGCATCATTTAAAATTTTAGAAATAAAAACAAAAAGCAGAAGAATTGTGTCTTGAAAGTGACTACTATTCTACGGGATAATAACCCGAACCATACAGCATAGACATAGTTAAGCTTTGGTTAGTCTCCAACATTCCCAAGCAGCTTCAAACACCACCAGAATCATCAGATTTGAATTTTAATGGGATTCACTGAAACGTAAAATCCACCAACGCACAATAAACATAAAGAATATACTTAAAGATGTGCTGAACGAGGAATGGGCTCACATCCCTTAGACAGAAACGTCTGAACTTGTGTATTTCATTCCAAAACCACTAGCGGAAGTTTTAAAACGTTGGGGATATCCGACTTCTTATTAAATTTTAAGAAGAATTCGGTGGAAGAATAGCTTTACTCGATTTATGTACCCTGTACGCAGTGTTATTGTCGGAAATTTAATACCGAGTCGAATCGAATATAAAAATTTAGATTTTAATTTCAGATATTCTCTTTACCAAAATGTATTTTCCAATAATGCATAATTCAGTTTATTGACATTGTTGAAAATCTGCATAAACTTTTAAATAATTGGAAATTATTTTTTGGAATTGTTTAAATTTTTTTATTTTATAAATTTTTATTATGTTTATTTCATAATACTGTATGTTATAAAAAAAATAAAAATAACTAAAAGTTTACGAATTTCAAATAATTTATATAACTAACGGTGTTTCACTTTGTTGGCTTATCAACACGCCACAGTTCAATTGAAAACAGTCACTCAAATAATAGTGAATTGAAACTTAGGTAGTTAATTGCACAAATTAAATTTAAATTAGACAAAAATCCATGCAGTTATTTGTAAGTAAGCTCATTATCATTGAAAGGGGAAATTATAAAAAATTATAAAAACATTTAAAGCACATGTAAGCCAGAAAAATGTATTAATGAAAAAACTGTTGAACACAAATAATAATAAAAATGTGTAAATATAAATGAAGTAGTAGTTATTTACTAAGAAACACAAACGAAACAAGGAAATTAATTAATAAATGTAAAAATAAATTAAAATTAACATTAACTAATTTTATACACAAAACGAATTCACCCATGCATTATTAGTAAAATTTTACACATAAGTCAGTACCTAAATGAAATTATTAAAACTATTCTTAAAAAAAAGGCAAAAAAAAACTATGAAAAGAATACTAATGAATAAATAATTTAAATAAATATAAATTAGCTGATGTAAACAGGACGTAAAGTCCTTGCAAATGTTAACAGATACTAAAACTCAAACTCTATAATTATTAAGTGGCTAGAAGAATTCAAATAAAAATTTAATTTAATACAACAAAGTAACGAAAAAGTAGCGCAAAATAAATGTACTGTAGCAAATAGACGATTTCAATACAAAACAAATATAAAGAGCATAAAAACTTTAAAAAACAATAATTTATAATTAATAATTATAAAAACATTTAACTACAAAAAAATTAAAACAAAAAAAAACGAGTATGCATAAGCAAAGTACTTAAGTTTACACTTAGCGCATTTAAGTTTTAAATAAGATTTACACTAAGTTTACACCAGTTACAATTAAAATGTTTCAGCAAAAAAAAAAACGGAAAAAACAACAAAATTAATATGTAGCAATTAAAAAACAATTTCGAGTAAAAAAAAATGTTTCAGAAATTGTTGTAAAACTAACAAAATAAAAAAACGAAACTAATTTGTCTAAGCATGAAGCAGTTGAGTTGAAGTTGAAGTTATTGTATATGTTTGGCAAAAGTGCCGAAGCAGGGCCTAATTAATGAAGTAAAAGCGAACTCAAAGTACTCTCAAAGGTGAGTTCAAAGATATGCTTCAACACTGTGTTGCATATATAAAACAAATGCAGCAGTAAAACCCAGAAAAAACACAAACTAAGTAATAAGTTATAAAACAATTGAGATTTAAATTAAGTAAAAATAATTAAAAGACAAAACGAAATAAACAATGAATTTTAAAACACAAAAATCGTTTTGACTCAGTTTATTTGCGGGAAATATGGATGGAGTGGTGAGTATAAACTAAATAAATGAAAATTTTTTATAAAATAAACATTTCTAGTTTGCGCTTACTGCTTACTAATAAATTTAAAAAACAGTGCTTACAATTTGCTTTACAAGCAAATAATTTTTGTAGTATCGAGATTCGTACTTTAAACCAATTTTAAGCTAACTTTATAAAAAAAAACTAAATAAATTATTATTTAAATAACAAAAAAAATCCTAATTATTTTTAAATGAAGCGCCAAACTCAGACTTTTCATTTGACACCTCAATCATCAAAATCGGTGAAGTATTAACAGAGTTATACTAATTTAAACCAAACAAGCTAATCTGCCTATACACACACGCACACGCACACACATGCAACGACCGCCGCAATTTTTCCATTCGCTCAAATTGACGATTTGCACCAGGCCCGCAGAAATGCTCAGAGCACAGTAGGTGGCTGCAACCGAAAAATTGTATTTTATGTTGCAGATCTCACAGGCGCAAGTAAATTTTCAACTTACTTCTCGCTACCGGAAATGCTGACTGAACATACTTAATTGTGCATAACTTCGCTAAATAAATGTCTGTAACGACGTTTGAGGTATGAAATAAAAGGGCAAGATACAAAGCTGATATTGCATATAGCAAAAATGTTTCTGCTTTAATTTTTACTACTCCGAAATAGGTAAACGCATATGGTATGTTAAGACGAAGTCCGCATAAAGCAGAGAGATCAAAGTGAGACCCGTTGCCGCCTAAAGAAATAATCTTTCATTTGACACTAAATTTATTGTTAACGGTTGCATTTTCGCTTAGTTATGCACCACTAACCTCAATGTCTAATCGCTTCCGGTAGTGAAAGGAAGTGAAGAATTGTCTTGCGCCTTTCGGGTATGCAACAAAAAATTAATTTTTTGCGTGACAGCCACCTGCTGTATTCTGAGCAATTCTGGACGCTTGGTGCATATCGAGCGTTTGACAAAATATAAAAATCGCATAGACCGCGCTGCATGTGTGTGCGTGCGTGTGTGTGTCAGATGACACTTGTACGTGATTTTTGGTCACAAGTGCGGCAATTGTGGACCGATTTAGATGATTTTGGTGTCGAAAGAAAAGGTAAAGAAAATCTGCATCATCCTCAATAATAAAACAACCATTCAACATACAACAAATAAATATATTTTTAACGTTTTTATTTTTATTTTTACATAATATAAAGTGTGTATATATATGCGTGTTTATTACAATTTAACAATTTTTTTTTTTAGTTTGGGTAGTTATAAAGAGCGGTAAAACTAACGTAGTACGATTGCTTCAAGCAATAAAAAATTGTCTTTTTCAAATTTATAAATAAATATTACATATACAGTGCCTTGCGAGCGTTTTCTCTGCACTCTAGCATAGGAATAAATAATAGTGGACTGGTAATAAAAAATAGAGAGTCTGTTGTTAAAAATTAAAAGCAAATCAGAGAAATAATATTACGGTATTTAGTGCTACAGAACATAAATAAAGTCTTATTGGGTTAGGCATAACTTCTAATGAAAGTCCGGTAGTGTCAAACTGGGAATTCGTGTATAACAACATTCAACATTGCATGTCATAATATCAGCTCGGTTCGATAACATACAATATCAGCTTAATAATTTTCGCATCTATTCGTTATTCATATCTTCGGTATCATTCTCCATCTCTGAACCACGACCCTCACGTATGCGCTTCAATTTTCGCTTAAGCGTCATTATGCCTGTAATGTAAGATACATTAAATATATTTATATTTTTTTGCACTACTTCATTTACATTTAATAGCCTGGAAAGCTTTAGCTGACGTGCAGGAACTATCCGAACCAGACGAATTGGCTAGAGAGCTGATCTTCAATTTCTCCTGCGCTAACTTTACTTCCATATAAGCTTTTTTAAGTGTTTTAAAATGGCGATGTTCACTTGAGTCTTTCAGCAATATGCATCTGTAAAACGTTAAAAGAAGGATTCGTTATTATATTTGAGCTACTACCATTCCTATTAACATATATACTTTGCTGCTGATCCTTCACCCGAACAGTCCAACGGCGAAGAGTGATAAATCTGATGATAAAAATACTGCAGCACTGGCGAATTCCAAATGGACAGACCGTACCACAGCCAAATTGTAATATTTAACATTATTTTAAAATTTTTGGCAAACAACGTAGGAACTAAATATTTAAATGGGAGCAAGCTGATGAATACGTGGGACCTGTAAATAAAAAGAATAAGTAAGTAGTGTCACTCATGCAGGAGAAACAAAATTGCAAAATTTTCAACTCCACGCTTTGAACAAAAATTTGATAAAAATTTAATATTTAAAAATAGTCTTTTGATAATTCAATTTTAATTCTGAACACTATGTATATCATCTTTTAGAAATATTTCGGATTATTTACATACCACGAAGCGATGCGTAGCCCCAGAAACACTTGAAACATTAAACGGCTGCCTTTCGAATTGATTAAAGCCAGCAGAAAAAGAGATTCCGTAAGTATATTGTAGACGCCTAAGCTGAGATTCAGACCAACAAAGTAGTTTTCATATCTGAAATAAAAAAATTCAAAAGTTCCAAAATTTTTATATGCAAATCATTGCGTATTGAGAAGTACAATGCAAAACAATCAACATACTTGTATACATCAATAGCCCCCAATGCAAGCAAGTACAGCGTCTTCGAGCAAGCCTCTAGATAATCGGATTCCTTGAAATCCAATATGGCGTTATGTAAGTTAAATGTTATGATGAATAGTGAATAGAATTGAAATTTTTCACATTGTTGTGATTTGTAAAAAATCATATTCTCTGATGAATAGAACAATGAATATCGTCCTTGGTTCTTAAACAGCTGCGGTAGCAACATAAATTCATTGTAAAAATATAGGAAGAGTGTACAAGCGGCATAAAAGGCAATATTCCACACTGATCGTGCAAATTGTTTACGTTTGTAAAATTTTATATTCGATGTTTTTAGAAAAACCTGCAAAAATATTTACGAAAACTAATTTTAAACGATTTTATGTATATAAACACAGTGTATAATTAAAATTTGTTAAGAATTTTTTTAGAAAATAATTTTCTTACGACTTTTCACTCTGATGTAAATAAGAAATAAATTTAAATACATGCCATATAAATAATATGAATCCCTAATAAGAATTTACATGACTTATTATTTGTTTCTCTCATACAAATATTAAGCATATACATTTCCATAATAGTTTATCTTATGTGTATAAAAATAAATTCTTATTTACACGACTTATTTTAATATATTTCTCGCATGCGAGTATCTGGCAACCATTTATTTCAACAAAAAACACGACCTCAACAGCTGTTTAATATTTGCACTCTGCTAAAACGCTTCTAAAAGCAGAGAACGTATATATACGTTCTCTGGTAAAAGGTGCATAAGCAAACAGCTGATTAACCTAGCGGCACCGTTACCTTAATCGTCATAAATACTAAAAACAAAACAAAACGAAAGAACGCATGCAACAAACGAGAAACAAAAAATCCTAAAAAAGACTCGCATGCTATTTTTAGTAACTACAAATAATTCACTATGCTTACCAGGTGCACATGCATGTTAAAACATGTAAGGTGTCTTAATATGTATATGCAACAGCCTACCTCAAATATTTTATAGAATCCAATGAAGCCTCCGGCGAATAATAAAAATATCCAAAACATAGCGTTGAGCAAATAATTCAAGTCCACATGCTGCATTAATGCATCGAACCGGTCATTTGTGATGAAGTATTTTAGCGGCAGAAAGAAGTTGTAAATGTCCGCCCAATAGTCGGGCGGACCTGGCTTCATGTCCAATATAGATGTCATCGTCACTACTCCGATTCACACAATATCAACAAATATCTTGCGTTTTCAGTTATTGTTCAACTTATTTGAAAATTTTACATTTTTTACAAGTTAAAATTAGTTTCTGTAGAAATTAAATATATTGTGCCATCGCAAAAGTTAACTTCACAAATTTCGTTTTTTTCACTGCGATTAATTTTTCGTTTTCTTTTGCACTCGGATTGACATTTAGAGAGAGTGTACGTAGCGTTGCCATATCAAATGTATTAATTTTAACAAGAGACGTTTTCCAGAGAACGTATATATATGATATGATATACGTTCTCTGCGTTTTCAACCAAATATTGATTATATTAAAAATCAAACATGGTTTTTTTAATTTAATCATGCTACAAAGAATTTATGAAATTGTAAGTGATATTTTTTTATAAATTAATTTTTTTCAAACGTGTTTAAGTCTATGATGACGGAAGCTTCTATAGCGGAAGTTTTAATTTAGCATACTTTTGGTAAAAACCAGTAACAAAAAGCAGAACGTATATTATTAATATATAATATATACATATACTTGTATATTATAGGTTCTCTGCGAAAAAACGCTATTTTGTCGTTAATTTTAAACTGTCATAATATTAGTAAATTCGATTTGATTATACATAAGGAAGTAATTGAAATTTTAAATATGTATATTTATTTAATTACTCCTTTTATTAAATTTACATCAAAGAAAAACTATCACACTTACTTCAAGAAAAGTATGTATAATCTGTTTGTGTTTATGCATGAGCATAAATTAATGGAATTTCCTCCTTCATTTGTTAATAACATTGGCAAAGTAATTTTCCTTACAAATGTGCTCTATAAAGAATAATACATCACTTCAAGTCTGCTGACTGTTTGAAAGACATTTCGGTTATATTTGAATGCTACAACAATAAATGTATCGCTTAACGGGTTATATTCACTTGTGAATTGCAAAAAATGGAAATAGATTTCCTAGTCCTTCGATCATTTTATCTATAGTAATAGTATTTTTTTTTTCGTTGTGGATTGGAGATTATTTTAAGGAGTAGAAGTAGCAGTTAAGGTCACTGTAGAATTAAAAAACAAAAATCTTTTTTCTTTTTTACGCTTAAACTATGTATGCTTTATAGTCATAAAAAAAAAAGTTTCAAATTTATTTGAAAATTTTTTCAAACGACTTTAAGCGTATATAGTAAGCTCACCTCCGGCTCAGTATATGTAAAACTGTAAACGCGTTTTTCTCAAAACTACTTTTTCCAATTGGCGAGACAAATAACTTTGACAATTTTTATCCGATCGATTTCAAATTTTAAGATTATTTTTAAAATTGGATTTTGCATCAAAGTACGTAGGGAAATTTCGATTGATTCAAAACTTTTTTATGGCCAGTTTGTTAGGAAATTAAAGACTGAAAAATTAATATTTCTGTTCATATAATATAATATTTTCGAATTTCCCTACGTATGTATTTCTATGGTTATTCTCATGTACATTAACGATGTTTTTTTGTTTCTAGGACGATAATTGTGGATGGTTAATGTCTTGTCGCTGAACGCTTAAAACGACCAAAGAGACATCGCACGATTAGTTTATTATAGTCAACAAAATTAACCCAAAAAAATTATTTTTCATCAAATTGAGATTCAACCTTGATAAGTGTTTCATTAGTAAATAAATGATTATATCACAAAAAAAAATGTATGAATCTGCACATGATTTTCTACCCGCTACAGTGGTCATACCCCTTAAGCCGAAAAATCTTCCTTACCGACAGACACTTTTTCGTTGATCCTCTTGAAAATCGGCTACAGGAATCCAAAATATTTCAAAATAATTAAAGTGTATATATATATTAAATTATACTCGTATAAATGTGCATTATTATAGTAAATTTGCCACGATGTTTGTAACACCTAAAAATAAACGTCAGACACAATATAAAGTATACGAGTATATGTATATAAATGATCAGCATAACGAACTGAGTCGATTTAGTCATGTCCGTCTGTCTGTTTCTCCGCCTAACTGTATATATGCGAACTACTCCTTCAATTTTTGAGATTTGATCTGAACGATCGGAATCAAGTTCTTGTAAGGAAAACTTTTTCATCAGACAAGATATCTTCAAGAAATTTGGCAAGGGTTATTGCCTTTGGTAGTGGTGCAATCAATGAAGAATTTGTTCAGATCGGGCCACTATTTTGAATTTTTTTGAAAAGTATTGTACTTATTAATTCATCAATATCTATTTTGTCCCCTTCACCACAATGAACCGGCTTTATAGGCTGTACAAGTGAAATTCCTGTGAGGATCAACCATTTACCTTACTTATTGAACACGAGATCAAGTATACAGAGTGGCTTCTTGTGTAAACTGCCGGTTTTTGCGACAGTCCGCCGGAGTCTGTATACGCGGGATCAAGGCCTTAATAGCACCCATCAGAATTTTGGAATTTATCAGTGTTCCGGGCCTATGTCTAGTGTTGTGATAGAGGGGAACGCACAATAGACCTTAGGTAGCGGTGCAAGCCTCAATTTATTTCTATCCATCTATGATCCGATTGATATGCCAGCATCCTCTGAAACTTCCCTAGTAGCGATTCGATGATTTTCAAGAGCAATTTTTTTCACTGTTTCGATGTTTTCTACGCTTGTTGAGGTGGTCGCACCTCCAGGATTCTCATCGTCATCAACATCTTCACGGCCTTCTGTAAAGCGCTTGTACCTCTTTGACACAAAGTGGACTCACCGAATGCCGCAGTCAACATTTCAAGTGCCTGGGAGCACTTTATTCCATTTTTTAACGCAAAAGTCAAAAATCGAAGAGCACACAAAAACGGGACTAACAATCTCTGTTGTCAAAAACAAACTACTAATCGAAATTGGCGCCTAATGCAAGCACTTGATAAACATATGTGTCCAATTATAACAAAAACAAAATATCGATAATCGAATGTACACAGTCCGCGAAATATCAAAATTCACCTTTTCCTTTGAACACACCTAGTAACGCTGTCATACAAACTGAATGATCGAAACCAAGTACTTGTATCGAAAACTTTTTAATTTGACAAGATATCTTCACTAAATTTAGCATGGATTATCGTCCAAGGCAACGTTGGACTTTACGAAGAAATTGTTCAGATCGAGACACTATAGCATATAGCTGCCATACAAATTGACCGTTCAAAGTTCATGTAAGGAATATTTTGTATTTGTGAAGGGGATAATAGTTTCGTTTTAACAAGTTTTCTTGTTTTTATTTAGTTATAAAACAAAATCTCTCTTAAAAAAAACACAAAAAAGAGTTTTTTCTCACCTGCAAGTGGATTTAACCCCTTATTCTCTGAAATTTCTAAAATCAGTATAAAATCAAGTATTTATATTTTTTCTCTCCGGGTTCGCATGATGGCGAAGAACACTAAACATTACCTACCAAGTATGAAATTCTAATTAAAAACATTTTAAATAGTTTATTAAATTATATTTTTGTTAAAAATACAGATAACAAAACAACGTTTATTAAAAAAATATACAGTTATAAAAGGAAGTATACATGCATATTTTTAAGTGTATCAGATTTTATACTTTCATTAAAATACTTTACAAAGTTAATCATTATTTTGTAAGGAAGTAATTGTATTGCAAAAAGTTCGTCACTTAACATTTACACTAAAAAAATTACGAAACTACACCAAATGATTTTTTTTTTATTAAAATAGTTATTATTTTTACGTATTTTGTAAATTAATTAAATTTTAATTTAAATGCATTACATTGCAACGACAATATAAATAAGCGAAACACACACACACTTACAAACACTCAAATATAGGGTTTCTAAAATATAAAATTTCTAATTGTTTAACAAAAATTTGGCTGCACACATACAATCATAATTTTTACAAAACTAACAGCTGCATATACATATGTACACATGTATATGCGTTTTCGAATTTAGATATTTGATATAATATATATGTATTTAAAACTTATTACATTAAAAATTAAGTAAGTATTTAGCTTCATGTTACCTTAAATGTTATTTTAATTTTAGTTCTAGCTTTAATTTTTGTTTGTAATTTTGAAACTCACTAAGACAAAGGTACCGTTAAACTTGAAGCTTTCTACGCTGCACTTAGTATCTCCCGTATCCATGCCGCGTTCGAGGTTATTTTATCATACATTCTCGGTCGCTCAACGCCGCTCGGTCCACAAGCAATACGCCAGGATGAAACACCGAGCAATGCCCATTGATTTGTGCCTGGTATGAGGCACTGCACAGGCGCACCAGAATACTCTTCTTGCTGTGGGCGAAAACAATGCAATAAAATGTAATTTTAATTTTATTAAATTATTATTTTAATTTAAGAAAATACCATATTCACATTATGATCATGAATTTTAAATAAAAAAATTAGAACATCATACATTCAAGATTTTATATACAAAATGTCGCTATTTTTATATTCTGAACCAGTTTATAACACCCAGAAGGAAACATCGGAGACCCTTCAATATACATCAAGGTTGCGAAATTTTCAATTCAAATTAAAAATTCAATTTTTAACCCCGTTTGTTGAGATTAAAAATTAGATTTTCAATTTGTATAAAGCTGAACGAACAAATATCTTTTAAAATAAATTGATTAGCGGATATTGAGAATAACCCGAAACTAACCGAACATTTTTTTCAAATATTATATCCGAATAAGAATATTATGAAAATTTTTCTTAATTTAAATGTAATGAAATGAAAATAGTTCAAAATATTTTTATTTGAAAAAGAGTCGGGCTCGGTTTGGGAGTCCTTTAGGGCATATTTCTGGTTATGTCTACTTTCGAAATATGTAGAAAATATATTTTTTTTTAAACCGAAAAGGTCATCTACCTTATTTTAATATCTAAATTCGGTTCATTGCAGGTAGAAAATACTATCCCAAAATAGTATATTTACCTATACTCCAAAGTTGTTTACAAGTTATTAATGCTGAACAGTAAACATTATTTTGAGTTAATTGCTTTCATACATAAAAATAGCAATAAACTTATTTTGGACTAATTCATTCAAAAACATAATACTTAAAAAGAAAAACACACACAGATATTTTTGTTTGTGTGGTTAAAAATCGTTTATGCACATGCATACATATGCATGTAGATATACCAAGGTCAAACTGAGGCACAAAAACAAACATGTTCACTAATATCCTGCCTCATACCCTCTTTACACGCTACATTACACTTTTTTATGCCTATAAAAGCCACGCGTGCTTCTGCAGAGCTGCATTACACACCAAGCACTCGTGCAGAGCAAACGTGTTAGAGAAAATTACAAAAATAAATAATAATATTCAAATATATATAGAAAATCGTTGATTGATTGAAAATTTAAAATGTCACAACGTAGAATTTTAAAAGTTGCTTACCACGGAAACCGTCAATTAATCCGTTATAAGCTGGGCAGCACTTATGCTGAAATTCTTAAGACAAGTAAGTGTACCAAATTAAAATATTTCATATTACAAAATAAACCTATATTTATCTTTCCAGTCATGCAACATTTCCAGATTCCATACAAACGCAAATCAGCAACAACTCTCAAGCTTACCAACGAAGCTGGCAAAGTATTTGGTAAACGTCAACTCAAAAACTATCTCTTATTGTTTCCGAATCCCAAAACTACATTCCATTTGCAAAACAATCAACAAACTACAGCAAGTTCGGGAAGGAACCTGAAAATACTGCCACGCAGCAATAACGCAATCAACACTGTAACCACAATGCAGCAGAAGAGTCGAAAGCGTCAACGCGAAAGCGATTATGAATACGATCCCACCTACACAACGACACCTGTATTTCGCATGAACTGTTTCATAGGCGTGTATCCTAGCAAATGTTCTCTGCCGCCTACGAAGCGTGTCCGTTTCAGCGAATCTTCAAACCGCATCAGAATTATACCTGAACGATCCGAAACAACTGCGGCTGTTAAAGGCGCACTACAGCGAACGAGTTCTTTTGTGGGTGAATATCCGAATAACATTTGAAATAATAAATGGTTACAGAGAGTATAACGGAAGTTGTAGCGGCATCAAGTCGCACATTTCCATACTTAGCTTTTAAGGCGCTTTGCCTTTCAGTTCTTTAAGAAGCCAGATGCTTAATGGGGCTATAATTCTAGAAATGCAACTCCCTACCAGACCTGATGATCAAGTGGACTAGAAGCCAAAAAATCTTCATTGAAGAATTGTATCTATATAACTATTGAAAGCTGTTCGAAGACTGCATAAGTAATAATTAATAGATTTTAATTAGTTATGTATACATATGTCAAATCCTGTTTATAATGTAAGACTAGGTTAGTTCATAAAGTTTCAAAAATAAATCAAAATTTATGCTATTAACTTGTATATTTAATTTTTTATTATTTCATGCTTTGAACATGGAAAACTGGGCGGGATATATTTTTGGTTTCGACTAAAATCAAACTTCTTTTTATTCCATATACATACACAATTGATCAAGAATTATGAAAATACTTTGGGACAGCTACTAACTTGTCAGGTATTAGTAACTGACTACGGTTGAAAATTCATTGTAACAATTTTAGTTACTAAACTAGTGGATTACCTGCATGGCAGGGAATAAGTAGGCATTATTGTTATTTGCAACTTGTTATTGTTTTTACCCAGTGATGGTTGAGTGCATTTGAATATACAATACATATGTACATACACATATGCACAAACATTCGTGAGGTGATAATGACGCATGCATAGGTGTAAGTCACAGTAACGGCTGCCAGAGAAAGGAAAAACAAAAACAAAAAACGCCATGAATGAACATGCAGTAACATGTCTGGTGAGCACAGCGAGCGATATTCCAAAAGAGAGTTCCAAACAGAACGTGCTCAAAAGCAAATACTTCTTTGTGGCAGTGGCATGCAGCTGGTTGAGATGAATCAATTTTTTCTTTGGCACTCGCCTTGCGAACAATTGAATGGAGTTAATTTAATGCGAGTGACGTCAGTACATAATTTTGTACACTGCGAAAATACTAATAATTGCTTATACGAAGAAATTTAAGGGATTGCAATTAAAAATGATGAATAAACATTAGAAATGAAGGATGAAAAATTTCCACAAAAAGTTTCTGTAATTTTCACTAAAAGATTATAAAAATAATTTTTCACTTCTTTGCACTTGAGAACGATTAATAAGCATTAGAAAGGTAGAAAATTGTCCATATAAAAATTCTGTTATTTTCATTTTAATACTAATTTTTCTATTTGTCGGTAAAAGCGTTCAATAATTTCACAAAAAGTCAGTAGAACAAGTTTATTATTCAAGTTGTTACTAGTATCGTTTAGAGCTGCCCTAAAACTGATATACCAAATATTATCACATTTGAACAAATTTCGCTCGCACTGGTCCACTTAAACTAAGCGCGCAAACCGAATCAATAAAAATCTTTTCCTAGATTGGTACAATATATATTTACAATCGGGGGAATTTTGATCTCCATATGTGAATTAGTCTATGTTAAGCAGCTGATTATTTATAACGCGAAAAGTTCGTCTAGTGACTTTTGCCATGGAAAAAAATTAAACAACGAGTTTGCTTGTCATCGAAAACTTGCCTCATGCGACTCTGTTAATCCATCCAGCTCTGTTAATGACGACAACATCGAAAAAGTTAAAGAAACAGTGCTGAAAAATACTCGTGTTGGCATCAGAGAGGTAGCAGAGGATTTTAAATGTTTTGGTTGTGGAGCATGTCCTTGCCAGACTCATACTAAAGACATACATTACTGGTAACGAGAAGGGGTTTCTGATTACGACGTTGAAACTGTCCCACAATCTAGCGAATGGCGCTCCAAATATGAGCCGAAACCAAAACAAAAGGAATTCGCTGAAGGCACTGAAGTCAATCAGGGTCAAATTTGATCTTGGTATACTCGGAAAATTCCTTTCGAATAATGGCTGACCTAGTGGATATAATAATAAATTAATTTTAAAATACATATAGTGGTAGTATTCTTTTTTATCAAATCTTTCAAAAAATTTAAATTCAATTATTTTTATTTATTTCTTACAGTGTTGAACTGGTTTCAATTGTTGCATACCATCTACTATCAATTGAAACTACAACCGCTACAACCTTTTCATTTCCAAAATAAGCGCCAGTCCTACCGCACGTACCATGAAGAAAACATTACCCGAGACTGTCTTTCCGGCACACAAACTTCGTTATTGCGATTTTTGAGGGAGGATTGTACTTTGTACACACAAAGCAACTGCATTATTCTAGCAGCAAATAGATAGAATATCAAGCGAGAGAGCGCGCAGTCAATGCAATTTGGGAACGAGAGCGTATTGTTTACCTACAAACTCATCCCTGTTGTTCACCTGGCTTGTGGACGAACAGCAGAAACTTCTTCTTGTCTGCCAAAACAAAACCAGCCGTTAAAGTGAGCACACGTACATTTGTATTTTATTTATGGTATAACTGCGAAATTAAATTATAAATTTACTTTTTTTTTTACTTTGGTTGGAAATTAAGAAAAATGGTTGAAGGCGGCAGTTTAATTGTTTGCTATCGGAAACAAATAGTTAACATTCATTACGAGTCCACAAATCGTTACGAACAGATCATTAAGTTGAGTAAGTAAAGCTAACGGAAATTTATTACATATACACATGTGCTTTCATGTTTATATGTACATATGTATGTACATATATAGTACTTAATTTTATTTTTATTTCCCCACCAGTTATTCAGCGCTTCAATATTCCGGCCTCGCATGAGACAGCCTTGCTGATCTCCACCGAAAATGGCAGAATTTTTGATAAACTACAGTTCGACTACTTTCTCACGCTCTTCCCGAACCCCAGCATGGTTTTCTACATACGTTATGATTACAATCGTGCAGTCGGCATATTGCTGTCACCGCAGCCGCAAGAGGAAATTGTAAAAACAACAACAGAAAGTAGTGATATTGAAATGAAAAAGAAAAGTGAGAACCAAGTTGGTGAAGTTGATCAATGTGCATCGCAGTTTACACCAGTCTATCGTATGAATTGCTTCATCTACGAATATCCCACAACAGCTATGACATTAACAAATGACAGTGCTCAGAAGCAGAAAGCTAATATGAAGAAACAGTCACCGCGTAGCGAATTTGTGAAGCGCGTGAAAAAGCGTTTGCAAATGGGTGAATTGAAAAGGCGTACAATGAAACCTTTGGCGCACGTTAAACGCTTTATGCGACTGTGAGGGAGGGAGAGGTAGAAAAGCTTAGCAATCAACGACTATCGTGTTATTATTTACAATTAAGATTTATAAATTATGTTTTTTCTCCAAACAAAAATTATTCAATTTTTGGCTGACTGTATACGACTCTATTTTTATTTATTCCTAGTTATTAAAATAATTTAATCTATGAACTGATTTAATCATATACTCAACCAAGCAAAGCAATCAAATATTTGTGTACATACTTATAAAACTATATATAACCCTTTATATACATATATCCTATACATATGTATATAATAGTATTAACCGCTTAAGTGTTTTATTAAATTTTTTATTTTTTCTGGAAATCATTTTTAATTTTTATTTCAAATTAAATATATATATATATATAAAAACAAACAACAAAAATTGTTTCTATTGCACTTGAACAAAATTTCTTAGAGAAATACCTGGCATTACCTGGCATAACCTGAGCTGATCTACATACATATTATATATGGCAAAAACCTTTAATATCATACAAATCGCAAACTAATTAAGTTAACATCTTGATAATTTTATAAAATTTCCTGTGAAATTATTTTTTTGTGTGTATAAAATATTACAAAAGGCATCCTTTAAACAATATCACAGAAGTTAGCGGACTGTGTCACACTGTAGTAAAAAAACAAGAAAAAACGTTAACTTCGATTGCACTGAAGCTAGAATTCCGTTCATAAATAAAAAAATTTGCCATGCAGGGCTTGATTTTGAACGGTTAATTATGTGGCAGCTATATATGTATATACGAATAGTGTTCCAATATCTTCAGTTCCGACAAAGTAGCAGTTTCTTGGACAGAAGAGGATTTCAGATCGTTATTTCAAAAACTGAGGGAACTTCGTGTAAAAACAGACACACTGACGGGCCGATAGACAGATGGCCATGGCCAAATCGACCTATCTCGTCATGCAAACATTTATATACATATGTATGTATATACTTTATAAGGTCTCCGACGTTTCCTTCGGAAGGTTACACACTTTGTGACAAATAATATACCATGTTCAGGATTCATACAAGTTGTTACTGGAATTCAAAGAAATCAGAAAAATGTAACCGTTTGCTTTTTAAAAACTTTCTTTACACACCAAACTCTAAATATCTCGAGTTTTGAGACCGTCTTACTGTTTATTAAACCTACATACGCTTTCAAGATTTAGCTATAATCACCACATCGTGTAGATATGTTTAAATAACTAACTATTTAACCGAGTATAGTTTTTGAATTCAAACTTACTGTGCAATCGTGCTTCTGATAGGTCGCCTCGGTGCACATGCTGTTTACCGTTGCTATAGAAATATTCTCACATGGTGCCATATCACCGATTTTCAACTGAACTCGCTGCAAATGATCACGTTGTCTGGACCAGCCTAGTGTATTGCAATTTGTCCAGATTTCCTCAACTCTAGGCGGCGTAGTTGGAGCTTTGCTATTCACACCTCCTATCGGCGTACGACCTGCAGCAACACCAACACCGCCGGTCGCCACAGGCACAGGCGCATAACGGCCAGCAGATGATGCAGCGCCACTATAGTAATGAACTTGTGGCGCACTCTCTGGCAACGGATATTTATTGAATTGTTGCTCCACCGTCTGGGTCAGCGCCTCAGCATACGGCATTTGTGAGGCGGCCGCTTCAGAGTGATCAAAATCATAACGTGAATATTCCTCTCTACTTTCCGAGCTGCTACTACTACTACCGTGCGCGTCAACTGGATCATGTTCCACCGCCGGCGATACAAAGAACTTTTGTGATTCTGCCAAATGACGTTGAACAGCGCTAGGAGTAGGCGGTACCTTCGGAGGTGGACGTTTGCCTTCTAGACGCTCAGCTTTGGGTACAAATGCGCGCCGTTTGGCCAGCTGATCTTGTTTGCGTTGCAGCTCATCGGGTAGGCATATAGGTCGCACGTGATCAGAGAAATTAACTGGTGTCTCAAGCCGAATCAATGCCGCTGTAGATCCCTCAACAGGGCTCTTGATCAAACCAATAATACGACGGCGCTGAGTCCACGGTGCATTGGATGAGAGACGCACGGCACCGAATATGGCCATCCAGGTGGCGCGTGGTTGTCCTTGGAAACACGACTCGGTGGTTAATACCCAATCGTGAGATATCTTTAGTGAAATACATTTCAATTAATAAATGAGTGACTTAAACAAAAGACTATATACGAACCAGTGTTCCGTCACACACATGTATGTCCTCGCGATAGAGCGCTACCAACCAAGGCCAATCACCAGGTGAGGACATCTTCGGTAACGATAAATATTGTTTGGGCGATAATACAGACTGCACTCCACACTGTAACTCACCACAGCCGACATAGAGTACCTGTCGCTTCTGACAATGAGTGCGTATAAAAGATATCTCCGGCGCATGGGGATCCAGCACACGCACGTAATCTTCTACTTGTTCAGTATCGTTACGCACTTCAAATATTTCTACGGATCTGCACGAACATACGTGGAAAGTTAAAATCAAAAAATTTCAAAATTTATCAGTTCATTTACTTACTCATAGCCGAGAGATTTGCAAAGCGATTCTGCCACAGTTTGACGAACTATTAATTTACTGTCTGCTTCCAGGCCCTCTGCGCACAATTTTCCCACAACACCCTTTTCGGAAAATACCGCAAAACCTTCGGAGTGGAAGCGTGGTAAATAGGGCACCATCGGTTCTGGCTTTAAGAGATCGGCAGCCAGTGGTGCTATAGCAACTGTAAATTGAAAAACACGCAGAAATATTCCATGTATCATTCGTTTATATTTCGATTGCGTTTCTTTAATACTTACGACAATCCTTTTCATCCGAACCATCCGGACAGTCGGCTTTGCCATCGCAACGCGCCTTACGTGACACACAAGCGCGCCCTCTACCACAATATAATGAATTCGCCGTACAAAAGGTACAAGTGCGTTCATCAGAAAAATCCGGACAGTCTACGAAACCGTCACAGAGACGCGGACTTTGTGCATTATTTTGCAAATCGTGTGCACAATGCGGCTTGTGATGACAACTCTGTATGCCTGTCGCTTCCGGAAAAGTTTCACAATCGAAAAATCGCTTGAATCGTGCAGGTAAACGACTACCACAACCCCTCATGAAGAGCTGACAATATTCACGACACATCACACCCGGCGTCGGTTCGAATGAGCCATGTGTATCACAAGGTGGTTGCAGTAAACGGCAAACAAAATCGAATGCTTCACGAAAACACTCTGCATCCACTAATTCGCGAAAAGCAATCACGTCCGCTTGTACCTCCTCAAACGATTGATGGCCCAAGAAATTAGGATATGTTGTAATATTATAACCGATCGAGCGGCAGTAGTTCAATTTGAGCGATTCACAGCGGCGCGGTGGTTTTGGCGTAGTGGTAATTATCTCGGTAGTATCATCTTCTCCGCCGAGTGGTGAAGAAGACATAACAGGTTCTTCAATGAGGCCGGTAACTTCTTTGATCGTTAGACTCTGTGGATCAACGGTCATATTGGCGAAATATTTACGATTTGGTGCGTTAATCTCCTCCGCAAAGAGTGCCAAGAGATCGGCAGTCGATACCAGGCCGGCATATGGATCAAATATAAGATTGAAATGTACAACAACCTCATTGATATCCTCCGTGCTGTGGTTATTAACAAAATTGTTGAAAATTTTAACTAATTTACGTATTGGAAAGTGAATACGGAAATACAAACTTACCCATCCAGCGCCAGTATCTCGCTGCCTTCGTAAGCCTCACGCAAATCGGAACGTTTTACAATTAAATTAATACGCTCACGGAAGTCACGTGCTTTATGATTAAATCGCAAAGAATTCTGATCTGCCAACTCCATAGACCACTTATCGTTCATTACCAGAAATTTGCCGCGGAAGGTTCGATCTGGCAGCGGTTCAGGGCGGAAATATGTATCTAAAGATAAAATATACGTACAAGTTGTTCAGCTTAACTGAATTGTTACCAAGCCTTTGACACTTACAACCAACATAAACGAAAGCGCCGGCCACCAGTAGGGCGACTAGAAATCCCGCTATCACAGCACAACCGCACTTCTGACTATCGCCCAGCTTGCGACGCGTGAAACGTATATCGGAATCTGTGGATAGCACTGACTCCGATTTTCTTCGATTACCGCCACCGTTGGTGTGTGTGTGATTGTGTCCATGTCCATGTGCGGGTGGATTGGCCAATTGATGGTGACACAAGTCGGTAAGACCATTCGGCGTCGTACCATTCGCGAGAACACCATTGCTATTACTGCTGTTGTTGTTATTGTTGCCATTGGCAATACTGTTACTATTGTTGCTGCTATTGTTGTTGTTACTGCTGTGGCTATGATTGTGATGTGGTTTGTGGTGGCGCGCACAACGCGCATTGTGATAAACTTTCTGCGGTTGCGCTTGCGCATTTAAGCCATTTCCGGTTGAATCGCGATGTCCACTCGGATTGCTCTGAACACTCTGAAAATACGAAAATAACGGTATAGAATATAGACTATATATATGTAGACTTGCAACATGTGCTTCAATCATCGAGAATTTAAATTAAAAGGTTTTAAATATATGTATATCGTAAACTAAAATATATATCTTTATATGCCTATGTGTTGGATGCATGTATGAAAATATAAGTACTATCATAGCTCTATTCTAATTCTTTATTCGCCTCCGCTCGAGTACTTGTAAGCATTGTGTAAGCACCCATTCACTTTCAATGACAACAGCACCTGCTGTGCAGAATGTACCGCAGGGTACTGAGCAATACTGGACATTCGTAATACGAGTAAGACACTGCAAAAACAAAAATACCTCATCGACTGCAAGAATTTTGTATCGACAACCAGAAACGCGTTCTTGGCTCAAGGCTGACTACTTTGCAGCATCAACAATTCAGTTTAATACAAACCATTGTCCAAGTATTTTTAATAACCAGTCTGCACACGCCATAAAATATAATTAAGTTAGGTGAATATATGTATTTGTTGTTCTACATATATTTTATTATTGTATATAAATATACCCTAGCAGTTCAATTTGTTCAGACAACATGATTAAATTAATACCGTTATAATTGTTCTAGTATTAAAGTCAAATTCGAAAACTATTTGCATGGCTTCATAGATCACGACATCTACTTAATGAGGGTAATTAAATTTCAATAGAATGAGTTCTTTGACCTACTTGCTTAACACACTTAAAAATGTTTAAAAAAGATTTGTTTATAGACTAATCATACAAGCAGTAGGGAAATTCTTATGGACCTCACTGGCCAAAAAAAAAAATTATTTGATTGTTTTTATAGCAATATAAAATATTCCCCAACGAGTTTGGTGAAATACCGTTGGCGTGACTCAGCTTGTATTGGGACGGGATTTTGGCATTCTGATGGAAAATTATTCAAAATTTGAGTAACTTAACCTCGCAGCAGGAATGTAGACATTGAATGCATACTTTATTTTAATAATAGGCCCTTACAGCATTTGATAGCCGCTTGGAAAATTTTCTCCTTGTACTTCTTGATATTATGCAACTATTGGAGATAAAAACTTTTTCAACTCCTTGTAAAAATCTATTGAAGCTTTTTCATGTCAAAATGCACTCACGGAAGCCATTACCGATGGATGAATTTTCATTTTACTGATTTCACTTAAATGTAGCTTTTATTTCAACATCACCCGGAGGGTACTGACAATAACAATACAACATTATTTATTTTCAATTAGGACCAGTAACATAGTCTGTTCATTTACTATTGAATTTAACCAGATTTTTCAAGACAAAATTATTATTATAATTAATTATAGCTATTATACACTCTGAATCATTTTTAATTTTTTGGGCGACAATTTCTCCGGGGCCCACAGTTGCAATGTGTTACAAATTTACTTTTCCGACAATTCACTACAATTATCACCTCGGGGGCCGTTGCTCTCTACGGCCTTACTGAAAATCGCAAATATTTTGCTATCAAGAATATGGGAGTAGGAACAACTGAAGTACAAATAAAAGTATTGCAATCTTGATATATGTACAACTAATGGTTGCATGATTCATCGAACAGTTTTATAAATTTTCTCTAGAAATGGATTTGAAAGGGATATGCCACAAGCCAACTTCAAGTATAAGGCTTTTAAAACGGGTTTAGGAATAAAGAAGGAATTTTTGTATGTTTTATGTACTCAGAAGAAAGTAAAAGTGTGAGCTTCAAATTCTGAGGTATAGCAACAAAAAATAAAATAATATGGAGCTTATATAAAAAAACGTAAACGGAAAATTGCAGTATGTATTTATATAGAATAAGTATTTTTCCATTATTCGACCATACATATATAGGCATATCGATATTGTAAAATATTTTTAATTTAATACACAATCTGCAGTCTGCTAAAAGACTTCGTTTGTGTTCAAATGACGTACCATTTGCTATGAATCAAGATCTTTCAGATCTGTCAGATTTGTCGGACACAGAGATGGTGGAAGTGTTAACAACGACTCCACTTTTTCAAAAATGCTTTAAGTAAACCGATTAGAGACCCCAACAATTCAAAATTTCAAGCTCTTTATATGGGACTGCAGAGTAAAAACAGACAACTGAATCAAGAAAGATTGGGTTTTGGGATATAACATAACGGTTGGCAAACAAAATATTATAAACCCGTCTTTAGTTTCTAAAGATAAGATTATTTTAACTCCATAGCACACCAAATTTGGTATTATGAAGCAATATATTGAGGCATTAGACAAAACTGGTTCGTGTTTTGTATATCTCTCTGGTATATCAAGAAAATTTCGAGTTTTATGTAATGTAAAACAAAAAGCTGGTATTTTTGATGACCCTTACGAAATCTCGAAAATTACACATAGCAATTAAAAAGTAGGCATCAAGTTTTTATTAGGCTTGATATCTTTGGCTGTTTTTATTTCCACAACTACTGAAGTAAACCTCTAATTGACTTTTGCGCGGAAAACTACACTATTTTGAAGCTAAAAATTATATTTTTCTAAGAGCCATTGGCCTTTGAAAGACAATACAGACATAATTGTAAATTTTCGCTATAAAAGAGTTTCTCATCTCACAATCAGCTGCCATTCAGAAGAGGCAGCAGGCTTTGTATTTTTAATGCACCGCTCAAAACGACTTGTAGCAACATGCGATATCGCTGTATGAATATTGCTGCTTTTCTTATAACGTAAAACTCTGTCATGCCTAGTCGTAAGCGTTGTAATGGCCAAAAACCAGAAATGCATCTACCCAATTAGCGCCTTTGGAGGCATGCAAACACTGACGGCTGATGAGCGTGTGTCTTCATAAAACATTGTGTTGTTTTTGTAGTGATTTATGCATTTAATTTTTACCATATTTGCATATTTTATAATTATTTTTTATGTGTAAATATATTTTACCCATACGTATCTGCGTATGTTGCGATGGTCTGCTTTGAAGCTCATTATCGGAGTGTGAGACACTGAGTCTTCACTGTTTTATGAACAAATTGATTTATGATATGTTTATGAAAATTTTCTTCACACCTATAATTAACCATAATTTAGCGTTAGATACCATAGACTTTATATCGATAATTGTGAGGGCAGTTTGACACTAAAAAGTCATAATCAAAAAGAACTTGAACCGATTATTTTTATACAACACTAAGGCGCATACATTAGAGCGGGTTGATTTACAGGTAGTTAAAAAAAACGGAAAATTCGGGCTTGTGGGAAATGTTCTACGGATCATTCTGAACAACTTTGACTAAGAGAATGCGGGTCTAAAACCGGTTTCGAGCCATCGATTTTTCAGATGAAGTTTAAAATTTCCGGATTACAAAAATTTCTTCGTCAGTTTTTGATATATCCGAATGAAATTTAATATATAGGTGCATTTTGCGATTCTATTGATCATTTACCGGAATTGGACAGATCGGACAACTATATCCCATATCTCCCTTACAACCGATTATTCAGTTATTTTATTTTCCGGTTGCCTGCCATTTAATGATCCGTAGAGCATTACCGGCATACACGATTTTTGAGAAAACGAAATCGACCCGCTCTAGCATACATAGTTATTTTACAGTATTTCCAAATTTTCTGTTGTTATTTCTTTGACCTCTTACAATTGGATGGTTGTCAATCATTAAATGAGTCAGCGTCTTTAGCAGTCTCTGCTGGGGCTTTGGCTTTTATTTTTCTATGAAGCTACTCAGTTCTAATTACTATTTGTAAATTTTAACTTTTTTTTATACATACCTATATTTGGTATGTGTGTACATATTTTATAAGTTTTTGTGTTTTTCATTGTTTGCTTTAACGATTTAATGGTCATTGGCGAAAGAAATTGTTTTGATAGGAAAGTGTGTATTTGATCAGTATTTGTTGATACTTTTCCTCTTAGTAACTAATGTCACTGATCTCACGGCTCTTAATTAGTGAAGATGACAATTATTCTCCTCAAAAATGAAAACTTTCAAATGTTCGTATGTGTAATGTCAACATACGGAAATATATTTATGATATCGTAGTATGTGTATACATAATTTATACGCATGACGGAAATTTGGAGATAGATACAGTAAGGTATGAAGAAAATGCAACACTTATATGAAATTAAAATTTTAATAGTGTTTAGGGTTAAATTAGGAGCATGGAATAACTAATAAAAGAAGTAAGTTATTAGTATACCCTGAATAGGGTATATTAAGTTTGTAAAGCAGTTTGTAATACCCAGGAATGAACGTCGGAGTTTCTATAAAGTAATATACCTAGTCCTGCCATACATTCTGTTACAAACTCAGGACGTTATAAAAAATAAACTATCTATAAAACATTTTTTATAAAGTTAATTTTATTTAATAAAGCAAGTATTAGGTAAGTGATGTACAGAATTTTATTCGAAATGGTCACCTTTTGCTTTCAAACAAGCCCTCAGACAATTCGGCTGCACGCACAGTTTTTATTGATATTGACAAAACTGCTCTACCCAACGATTTTAATAGTAACATATTATAAGATACATATGATTGCATATCCTATCTATACATGTATGTATATGTATATATATGTAAAAACATAATGAATAATAATTAAAACCGTATTATATTTTATAGCCAATTAAAATGTTTACCGACTCATGCGATCAAGCAACATTTCAACGATCATAAAATCCAAATATACATATAAGTACGTATATACATATATTTTTACATTCCTTTACATATGTATATATATTTATGTTAAAATACGGCTTTAATTTGCCAAATTAGCGAAATATTTATGGAGCGCGTATTTAGCGCCAGCAGCTACGATATAGCTAAATGAAACCACTTAAAATATTACATCCAATAACAATTTACACGCGAAACAAACGTTCATATTGGCGAATTAAATGGTTAAATTTTAATAAATACTAAAATCAATTAAAAAAAAAAGAATTTTTGCAAAATAATTTCGCTGCTCCAGGT